CCCCAAAACCCCAAAACCCCAAAACCCCAAAACCCCAAAACCCCGAATTTATTTAAACCCATTGAAATACTACTATATTCCTTAAATCTAGCAATATTATTGGCTACTCTACCAATTGTCCTTTATTTCGGTCATACATTATCATATTAGAACTTTGGCAGTCATTATTTCTCTATATGCCAAGTTAGAAGTGATTAGTTAGAGCAATATAGCTCAAGCTTAACAAAATCACTAAATATCCAAAATATAGTCCTGATGAACAATTACCTTCTGAAGATTCTCTGAAATCCTTTCCTTCTTATTCATGGTGGTAGTTCTTAATTTTGGGCTAATTTTTCTTCGATATTTTATGCATTTCTTTCAAAAATGAGCTATCAAAGAAAAACTGCTTATGAGTACCCCAATCATTGGACCAGCAAGCAATACTTGCACGTAGAAATCTTCTTTAATCGATGACCAGTCTGATTCAAACCTAAGGAATACTAATGGGATTATAGCTATAGCATAGTTTATTTGGTTAATCCCTTCAACAATGTTATTAATAGTCAGCTGAAATGGCCTCACTATCAACACAAACAAAGTTGACAATACATGCATGCTAAAGAAGAAGCTCCACTTTATGTAGTAAATAGCATGATCCTTGGTTGAAACCTTGCTTCTCTGACTCCCTGTTGCATTACCAATCATGAATATGATGACTACAGATAGTAATCTAGTGAAAAGGAAACACAGAGAATTGAATTTTGCATATTTGCCCTTCTTGATTCCTGAATAAAACTCGTGAATTGATCAGTGGTTGTGGAATTCAGAATTTTGATTTCTCCTAAAAAGTCATGATATTCTTACCATCCAAGGATAAAAGAGATAATACCTAGCATTACGAAGACAAGGAGTCCGAAAGAAAAGAAGAAACACATTATCAGAGAAACCAGCCCAACAGTAGAGTGATAGTTGAAACTTTTGAACTCAGCAAAGATCGAAATGATTTGGAATAGAAAGCCCTGCATCATTAGCCTGATGTAAAAGTTGAAAGTCATATACTGAAAAATAATTTCAGCAATCTTCCTTCATTTCTTTGATCTTCTAGGTGTTCTAGTGAAGCAATAGAAAGCCCATAGCACTGTATGGATAAGAAACATGAATACAATAAACACCATAATTGGGAGATAGTTGACAATAGAGCTGGATGAAGTCAGCCCGATATCATTCAAATAGCTGTCTTCCTGAGAATAGTCAACTGCTTCTTTTATTTCTTTAATCAACGGAATGTCATCAACAGGAATGAAATCCAATGAGATAAATGCAAAGTCGACTCCCAGAATGAACTGCCCGACTTTGGCTGGGAAATATGCAGGCAACATTGGCAACAAAATATACAGTTGGAACTGGTTGATAAGAGCAAATATTCCTACTGGAGAACTCATTGTTGCCATTGATAAGGTGACAGAGACTATCACTCCAAGACCAACAATTGATTGACCTATAGTAGCTGCAATTTCAGCATTTGCTTCTACACATTGGTCTTTGGTGTCGCTAAGTGTGTAGCCGATACTTCACTCTGATCACAACTCTGGGTCGTCAGACTGGCATGTATGTCAGTTATCTACTGCTCACTGTTTGACTGTGATGTAAAACTTCTTTAAGGCTGACTCAGTTCCGTCGTCGATGGCCAGAACGAACTTGTACAGAGTGTCCTTGGAGACTGCAGGCGTCTTGTTCAGAGTCAGGACTTCGTTGTTAGAGTCAAGGTAAACCCATTCTGGTACTCTAGTATCATCGAGAGACTTCAAACTGTAGAATATGGTAGTAGCATTGGATGAGTGAGATCAAGGCCAAGTAAACGAAGCATTTGTGTGAGATCTCGAGGGATAAGATTTTATAAAGTCATCATTCCAAAAAGCAGTAACATATTCTTCCTCTGTGTTAGTTACACTTATGTCACTAGAACTTATTGTGCTTAGAGCTTGAGAAGAAAATGTTGTTGAAGAAGATAGCAAACCCGATATAGATCCTGGATCACTGATCACAAACTCTGTGGTGATTGCAGAGAAAGTAGAAGTCTTTTGAGTCAATAGACTGAACCTCTCGATTTCGTTCATTTTAGATATCTGAATTTTATAGTCTCTTGAGAGTTCTCCTGCCAATACAATGTATGCTGTCCCAGACTTCATGATTCTTGTTGATGAGAAGAACTTGGTTGTGCTGTTAGTGTATTCTTTCGAAACTGTGCATGACAGCGGATCAATGATAATGATGTCCCAATTTGATGATGACAAAGGCTGAAAGACAACCAACACTGAGTCTCCGAAGTCATTAATATCATTAACGAAGTTGGAGTCACCCGAGGACAAGAGCCCAGGACACACTGCATCTCCAGTTGAAATATCAAGAGTGTGATACATCAATCTGCCACCGAATGCATTCATTGCATAAATATATTTTCCGTTGTTACTTACAATGGATTGGGACTTCTTGGTCGTTCAGGATGAAGAACAGGTTACATATTTTCTCCAGTTGAAGGTTGGAGGGCTTTGCAAGTTGATCGAAACAAAATAAAGGTTGTTTTCAGAAGCTTTCATTGTAGCCATGAAAACTTGATTCTCACTAATTGGAATATAGTTGATATTATTAGGATTTCCATAATAATATCATTGGATAGAGGCTGATAATCTCTGTGATGTTCAGAGCCCACTCTGAGTAAATGCTGAGGTAGCAACTGAGAAAAATATTCTATCTCCAAATGTGTCAATACCGTACTCAGCTCCAATGATTAAATTTGATATCGAAGTAATATTAATAATGCTCAAGTCAGTTGAGTTTACTTCCATAACCAAGGATGATCCCTGTTGGGCTAAATATATATAGTTGCCATCTCCGGAGATCCCAAAATCTTCATCTGAAAAGTCAATGGAGTATCCTTTCATCCTAACCGCATTAATATTATAATCAGTCATCATGATAGCTCCTCTGCTGTTGTTCGGTGCTGGTTGGTTTAGCTGGACTTGGAAATATATGATCTCAAGATTTGGGTGAGTGAGTGTCTAGATCAATGAATTTATTTCTGAAATTCAAGTTTATCAATAAATCTAATCCTTTTAAACACTTGCACTTAATACTCATTAGAAATTTGTTAGCAATAATTCTAATTTATCAAGGAAACTCACATAATTGTATCTAAACTATATCAGTCTTGTAATGAAAAATGAAATTTTATCAAAATCATTATCAGATGAAAATTCTGCTGAACTTGACATATTGATATTGCTTAATACAACATAGTGAAACAGAAATTATATTTTTGGTAACAATAACAAAAATCTTAGAGTTAATAAAAAGAACAGTTTGAGTGTTGGCTAAAATAAGAGCACCATTGGGAGGATAGTTAAAGCAGTTTTGAAATACTAGTGGAAGTGACACATCAATAAAGCTCACCTTGGAAAGATAGTTATAAGAAATTGAATCAGTATGGATAGTTTTCAGAAATGGCACGCTATCAATTTGCTCTTGAGTAGATCAAACCTTGGCTACTCAAATCCCGATAAATAATCAAGCATTAATCAAGAACCTAATCATCTTGCTATTATATTATTATAGATTATTACCGTTCACGGGGTTTTGGGGTTTTGGGGTTTTGGGG